TTCCGCATGTTTGCACTCAACTTTACAAAGTATCTGAAGAGATGTCATTTATTTTCCTTGTGTTTTTACAAGGCTCTGGATCCCCGCTGTGGTTGAGTCTCCTTTCATGGGATTAATAACTTGGCCATAAAAAGAGGCTTTTTTCGCCATGAACAAAGTGCTGACTCAGCAGTGGAGCGGCAGTGTCCAATCCCTTCTATTCTGGCTGCTTGAATGGTCAGCTGAGGCAGGTATCTGATGTGCTTTGATGTTGAGCTGTGCTGCCCTCCCTGCTAGCATGTGTTTTGTCCTCTCCCCATCAGGTGCTGTTCCCCCTGGTGTGGACCCAGAAGCCTTCTCCTGGTTCCAGAGTGTGGATTGCGACCATAGCGGCTACATCTCCATCAAAGAGCTACGGCAGGCCCTAGTCAACTCCAACTGGTCTGCCTTCAATGACGAAACATGTTTGATGATGATGAGTGAGTCAAGGCCAGGGCAAGGGGGATAGCTGAGGGAGCTGGAAGTCTGGCAAACTATCCCTCAGAGGCTGTGTCCAGACATCATGACAAGCTGAAATGGTGCCAGGGTGTGTGTGATTAACACTTGGAATTCACTGCCACAGGAGGTGGTGGCGGCTACAAGCATGGATGGCTTCAAAAGGGAATTAGATAAGCATATGGAGCAGAGGTCCATCAGTGGCTATTAGCCACAAGGCATAGATAGGGACTCTGGGGCAAGTGATGCTCTGTCATCTTGGTGCTTGGGGGGGTCAACAGTGGGAGGGCTTCTAATGTCCTGGCCCCACTGGTGGACCTCCTGATGGCACTGGTATTTCTGGCCACTGTGGGATACAGAGTGTTGGACTGGATGGGCCTTTGGCCTGATCCAACATTGGCATCTCTTATGTTCTTATGAACCTGGCTTACTGCAAAGCTTGAACATGTGCCTCTCGAATCCTCTCTCCATTCCTCTTTCATGGACCATCCCAGTTAGAAACCAGGGGCAGATTGGCCGTTAAGGCCACTGAGAAGAGTCCCAGTGGGGTGATAGTCTTGGGGGGTGGGGAGTGATGGCCCCATTAGAACCACCCCCACCCCCGTGCACTAGGGCCACCCCAGCCCAAAGAGAGGAGTGGGCGTGAGCCAGAGACACAGGGAAGGAGGGCTGATCATGGTGAGGGGCATGCCTGCCTGGCCCTTCCTTGCTTGGGCACCTCCTGTTTGGTGCTAACCAGGCAGGCTTTCTCTCCCTTCTTGGCCAGGAGGGTGCTCTTTTCCAGGGTTGTCCCCCCCCACACACACACACACACTCCTGTTAGAAGCAAATTCTGGTTACCTATGATGTAGGAATACAGACAAGCAAGTTGACCTGAGTTAATTTCCCCCACAAACTAAGCTTTTTAACTTTAACTCACACACCATATTTATATGTGGCAAGGTTCTCCACAGGAGTAGGGGTGTGTCGAGGAGTCCAGTAACGAGCCCTGTTTTTCTACCTCCTGGCTTCATGTTGGCTTATTGCGATGTCTGAATGCAGCCAATGTGTCGTAAGATGTCTAGTGCTTGGGTCTGGTTTCCAAAATACAAAAATAGGTATGTTCTGTTACAGTTCTGAGAGATTAGATGTGTTCTTCAAACAAAGGAACTGTATCTCAGAAATCTTGAGATTGAAGGAACCCTTTTCTGTTTACTCTAGACTTTAAAGGAAGGAGCTGAGTGTAAAATATTACATTAAAAATGGAGGGTCTGTACAAGTTTTGAATATGTATGTCCATGCCAGAGCACAACATCTCTCTCTCAAAATAGCCTTTAGAATCTGAGGCAGTCAGACTTAATATGTGTTTGTTCATTCTGCTTCAGATATGTTTTCCTGCAGCTGGTGGAACTTCCTAAATTTGGCAAAGAGAATGGAAGCAATAAACTTGCTCTTGGCAATGATGGATGCTGGACAGGTCCACAGGACCAAGTTTGAGAGCTCTCCCTGTGTAGTTAATGAGAGCATGAGCTGGGAACTCCCTGGTTCCAATCACACCTTGATTGTGAACTCTCAAGAGGGGGCATGTGGCAAGCTGCTCAGCTTAATCCCCCCTCATCTGCAAAATAAGAATCATAATTAGGGCCTACCTCACCGAGCTGTTGTGAGAATGTATTTATTTATTGACTGCATTTATTGACTGTCATTCTCGCTGAGACTGAAGGCAGAATACAGTGTTTATAAGAACAAGCTAAAAAGCCAGTGTAATACCTACAGAACAATGAAAAAAACTGGGTTACACAATTAAAGAACAATGGAATCAAAACAGGATAATACATACAACAGCCTGGAATAATGAAGAAATAAGTGAAACAATGTATCCAGATGCTTTAGAAACAGACAACCTGCTATGATATATAAGTGCTAAATGTTTTTTAGTTGCACTTGAAGTTCATGTTCTGGCATGGTCACCTTCCACAGAAATGGAGTTGTACATTTAATTTCTCCCTTCTCTATGAAAGCATGTGGCGGAGTTTCTTCCCCCCCTTTGTTCCTCATTTGTTGATAACTGAAAATATCATAAAAAAGCAGACGACTTGGAATTGCTTCCCCCCCCCCTTAACTCTACTTTATTCTAACTCCCTGTGAAGGTTAGCGTTATAAAAATGATGTTTAAGCAGAGGTAACATGATGTAAATCTCAACCACTATAGTCTCTGCTCCAACCCTCCACCTGACAGACTTCCTAGCTGGCTTTTCAGTTCAGAACCCATGAAAGAAACAGAAAAAGAACAATAATTTTTATTTAGCCACAAGGAAAAGAGGATAGAAACTACTCACAGGTGTAACAGTCTTGTGGAGCCCATTCATTTATAATGTTTTAGTTGACAATTTAGGAGGGTAGAGAGCAGTGAGCAGCTAAGTTCGTATCCTTGAGGTGAATAATGATCTCCCCTCAGCTTCAGGAATCTCACAGTGTAAATGTGAGCTCCTCTCAGAAACCACAAATCTTTCACTAGTTTACCTCAGAAATTGGGGCTTCAAGAAAGCTTCAGTCTCTTCCTCTAAAGCTTATGATAAAGCTAGCGTGCTTTATCACAAAAGACAAGTCCAAAGTCTCCTGAGACAGGTTCCCTTCCAACCAGGGGTCATTTCCTGCAGGAGCGCACAGGAGCGGAGCTCCGGCAGTAAAGAGCCCCACCCCCTGCTCCCAGCAGCCCTCAGTAAGAGCAAGAAGCAGCCAGGTAAGTTGCAGAGCCCACCCGGCCTCCTGATCCAAAACAGTCCAGTGGCACCTTTAAGACCAAGTTTTATTCAGGTACAAGCTCTCCCGCCTCTGCGAGGGCAGATCTGCACGTCCCCCCCCCCCAATAGCTAGCAATCCAAAACAGTCCAGTGGAGCCTGAGCGGTGGGTGTTGCCTTCTGACACACTTCCAGTGATGTCAGGGGGTGTGGCATATGCAAATAAGTTATGCTAATGAGCTCCTGCACCTCTTTTTCTACGGAATGACCCCTGCTTCCAACTAGCACTCTCAAGACAGAAACCACTATCTCCACACATTCACTGCTTTAGCCAATTCTGAGACGACCCCTTCAGTCTCTTTCTCTGAAGGTTCAGACCCTATCTGCCTGAGCTGACAGTGTAGCAGCTTTTTCTCTCTTGCTTCCCCCTCCCATCTGGCTTCTCCAGCCCTTCCAGGGATTCCAATGACTGCTCGGTGCTCTAAACAGAACTGAAGGGGCTTGGTGTTTTTCAGGAAGGGGCAAGACCTTTGCCTCTCTGTCACATCCCCCTCCCACTCAGATTTGACACTTGAGGCAAGTTTCATTGCAGAACAGCATCTCTCTCTCTCTCTCTCTCTCTCCCTTTCTACCTCTACCTGCCTTTGCTTTCAGACTGTAGTATTCTGAGACTGTGGTTTTCTTATACTATCACAAAGGCGGTGCACATAAGACAGGATCTAAGGGACACATTTGACAAGTCTTGACAGCTTTTGTAGCCCTTTATGTGTGCACATGTTTCTTTGGTCTCAGTATCCTCTTTAGTCAAGGAGGTTTTGAAACTCCCTAGAAACTTGCAAAACCCATTTCACTCTCACCTCAGTATTGTTAGAAATTATGCCCCAGTGGAACAACTTTAGCTTTGCATGCAGAAGATTCCAGGTTCAGTCCCTGGCATCTCCAGTAAAAGAGAAGAAGAAGAGAAGAGATTGGATTTATACCCCGCCCTTCACTACCCGAAGGAGTCTCAGAGGGGCTTACAATCTCCTTTCCCTTCCCCTCCCCACAACAAACACCCTGTGAGGTAAAAGGACCAGGCAGTTCGTGATGTGAAAGATCTCTGCCTGAGACCCTGGAGAACCGCTGCCGGTCTGAGTTGACCATACTGACCTTGATGGATCGATGGTCTGATTCAATGTAAGACAGGTTTATGTGCGTTCATGTGTGTACACTGCCTTCTGTCTGAAAAAAATTCTTATCTGTCACCAGCCATCGGAGTCCAGTTCTTCTTTTGTACTGTTATTCAGAGTCTTGTTCTTTGTTCCCCCTTCTGTGTCTCGGCAGACATGTTTGATAAAACTAAGTCTGGGCGGATTGATCTCTATGGGTTCTCAGCTCTGTGGCGCTTCATCCAGCAGTGGCGGAACCTCTTCCAGCAGTATGACCGCGACCAGTCAGGAAGCATTAATTGTAACGAGCTGCACCAAGGTGAGATGTTGGTCTATCAAACCTCCAGAGGCTGACTGTGACCTCTGACTCTTGGTAAACTCCCTCCATCAGAGTGGGCGGAGACCAGAATGCTGCCTCTCTATCGCTAAGCTTTCATTGATCAACTGACATAACCCACTTCCTCAGTCTTTGTTGAAGAAGAAGAAGAGATTGGATTTATATCCCGCCTTTCACTACCCAAAGGAAAGCGGCTTACAAACTCCTTTCCCTTCCCCTCCCCACAACAGACACCCTGTGAGGTAGGTGGGGCTGAGAGAGCTCTGACAGAAACTGCCCCTTTTCAAGAACAGCTCTTATCAGAACTGGTCATCCAGCCAGGTGCAAGTGGAGGAGTGGGGAATCAAACCCAGTTTTCCCAGTTTAGAGTCCGCGCACTTAACCACTACACCAAACTGAGGGGCTGAGGCAATCCTCTAGTGCCTTATGAGAGGAACAAGCAGTGGTGGAAAGTGCCATCAAGTTGACTGATGTTAACTCTGTTAGAATTTTCAAGGCAAGAGACAAACAGAGGCCTGCCTCTGTGTAGCAACACTAGCCTTACTTGGTGGTCTCCTGACAAGTACTAGCCAGGGTGACCCTGCTTAACTTCTGAGATCTGATGAAATCAGGGCTAGGTTGAGCTATCTAGGTCAGGGCAAGGACAACAAGCTAAAATCTGCTAAATTGGGGACTACACAAAGCTGGCGTTGGCTGGCTGGGTTTCATGGCTATTTGGTTGAATGTCCAGAGAGCAGGAGGGCAGACTTCAGGCAGTTCCTTCAGGCAGGTGGAATCCAGTGGTAGCTCCAAGGAAGCAAGTAGCATCTGGCTGGTCTACTCAGTTTTGATTCAAAGTGCCTAGTACAGGGGTGTGTGGGCTTCTGTGGGATTTGCTAGCTAGGTGTTGGTGAGGTAGAGCTAGTGGCCATTTGGAAAGGGGGGTGGGTGTCAGAGAAATCCATGTTATAGAATAAGGTGTGTAGCTGTTTGGGTCTGCAGTAGAAGAGCAAGATTCGAGTCCCGTAGGACCTTAAAAATAAAAAGATTTCCAGGGTATAAGCTTCTGAGAATCAAAGCTCCTTTCTTCAGACACACGTTGTAGGAGGAAGCAATGTCAATGGAAGTTAAATGCTGGAGGAGAAAGCAGGAACGCCACTGCAGTTGGGGCTCTGAGAAGAGTCAGTGCATCTGCAGCTTTTGAGTGGCTGATGAAGGCCTGGCTCTGGATGACCAGTCAGGAACCTAGGAAGTAGAGCAGCTAAACAAAATAATAAGACACATCTATTTATTGCAAAGTGCACAGTAAATATAGATTAAAAGTATAACTTAATGTGATGTATAAGGATTGTGTTTGTATTTATGTTTTGTTATGGCCAATGGCTAATACAATAAACTTGATGATGATGATGATGATTAAAAGTATAGATAAAAACCACGAGATACTGGGTATCACATTACATCCACGTAGCATACAGCAACACATGTAAGTTGCACGTACAGTAACTAAGACCAAAACATTGGTTACACAAAATAACCACTAGACCAGGCAAACCTTTTAAAGACCGAGTGCCCAAACTGCAACCCAAAACCCATTTATTTATCGCAAAGTGCCAACACGGCAATTTAACCTGAATACTGAGGTTTTAGTTTAGAAAAAACAACTCATACATTAACATCTTTTGTCTTAAAAGAAAAACACAATAACAGAGCTTTCAATGATACAAACAATTTTTAATTGAAAGGTAAAAGTTTGCATTTGGCATGCTTTTGAACAATTAATGTGATTTTTGCTGTTGTATGCATGCTGATAATTTGTCTAACCTTGGCTCATACTTTGTAAGTTTGAGAGCAACACATGCAGCACTCAGGTCATCTGTTAGTCTGTTTCTGGTGTCAGATTTGATATAATTCAAAGTTGAAACAGCTGCTCACAAGCATAAGATGATCCAAACAAAATAAGGAAAGCAATCCTTCTATCTTCTCAAGTGTTTCACACAGGTCATAGAATTTATTTTTCCAGATAGAGCTTTCTTGAAATTCCAATAGCTCCATTTCCACATTTCCTAAATCTAACCAGTGTGAACAGGAAAGATCAAGTCTAGAGCCTTAATGGAGGCCATTATTCAGGAGCAGCTTGTCCCACCAGGAAGAGGCCAGGAGGCGGGCTGGTGAAGGAGGTCCCACCGAGGGGATGTAGTAAAAGGAACGACAGGACTGCCCATTGGAAACAGAACAGGTGCCCAGAATCAGAACAGGTGCCCACCTGGTCATGCCAGCAGCCAGGAACAAGCAGCAGACCAGAGGCAATGGCAAGCCCCCCCCAACCCCCCTCCAAGCCCGAAGACCTGCTGCAACTCCCACAATGACGATGACGCCCGTGTCTTCACCCACCCACCCCCGGCCGATCTCGCCCCCTGACCTCGAGGCCCGGGCACTGGGAGCCAGGCTGCCCACCCCCCCTCCCAGGAATGAAGATGATGACGCTGATGCTGGCAGAGGACGGGACAGAGGAGGAGGAGAGGGACACTCACAGGCTTGGAGGCAGGCGTTCCCTCCTGCAGGCTGCTGCTGGTGCTCGCCTTGGATGAGAAGGGGAGTCGTGGGGCGCAGCCGGCTTCTCTTCCCCTGCTGGCTTGATTTCCGCCTTGCTTGGCTCCCGCCCTCCATTCAAACTGCCCAATCAGGGGCCGCCCAGGCAGCTGGGGCGACGGCGCGCGTGCCCAGAGAGAGGGCTCTGAGTGCCACCTCTGGCACACGTGCCAACATAGGTTCACCACCACTGCACTAGACCAAATGTGTTTCAACCCATAAGGCCTTTTTCAGTGGTCTTAGTAATGACAGCACATATTAGAAATGAAAGTATAAAATATCTGTTCCAGACCAGGCAGGTTATGTGTGAATCAATTAAATAGTGTAGCTCCAAATAATAAAGTATTGGTGTCAATCAGGCCTGCACACGTAGAAGATCCCACACCCATCGAAGATAATAGCTCTAGTCAACCATACTGCCTTTGGCTGTTGCTCTCGTCAAAGTATGAGTCCATATATCAACCAGCTATCACTGAAGAAGGCCCTCTGGGCCAAAATGCATTTGTTCTAGTGGTTATTTTGCATAACCAGTGTTTTGGTCTTAGTTATTATATGTGCAACTTACATGTGTTGCTGTATGCTACCTGGATATAATGCGATACCCACTACCTCATGGTTTTTATCTCTGTTTTTAATCTATATTTACTGTGCACTTTGTAATACATAGATGTCTCTTATTCTTTTGTTTAGCTGCTCAACCTTCTAGGTTCCTGACTTCAGGTTGCCCCCCCCCCTTTTTTTTGTTGTTTCCTTCTTTGGGTGACCAGTGCCATGGAGAAGCTCTCCTAAAGGGATGCCATTTTCAGATCACCTCTTCACATTTGTACGCACAACCTGTGTGATTTCTGCTCACAGCTATGCAAAGCGGGCATCCTCCATTCTATCTCTATTCCCTTTCTCCTAGCACTCTCTCAGATGGGATATAACCTGAGCCCTCAGTTTTCTCAGCTGCTGCTGTCGCGGTACTCCCAGAAGGCCACCAACCCTGGCATCCAGTTGGACCGCTTCATCCAGATCTGCACGCTGCTCCAGAGCATGACCGAAGCCTTCCGGGAGAAGGATACCAGCATGACAGGCAGTGCCCGGATCAACTATGAAGATTTCCTTACGATGTCAGCCACTCGCATGCTGTGATGCTGTTTGTAATCATGGGGATGTCAGAAGTCTGTGACGCCCGTACAAGAGAGACTTAGTATTTCCAGCAGAAACCCAGAAGACAGAGCTATGTCAGCTATGCTGCCATGGGAGTGGGGGAGCAGTCGGCCACTTCATCTGGAGAATGTTGGATGACACAGCCAAATGAAGCCACCCTTGTTCTGTTGATTTGCATGATGCCAAATGCTCAGATGGATTCTTTGAAAGTGTGGTATGATCGGTTCAAACTGATTATTTTAGTCCACCATGTAGAACCTCCACTAGGGAGCCAATGACAGCTCAGAGCCAAAATACATATTGTGATGCAGTTCCACAGTGGCCACCACAGCCTGCAGAAATTTCTTTCTCCCTCTTTTCCCCTCCCCTAAAAAATACCTTCAGCCTTCGATCTCAGTTTGTACTGCAACTTCGGAAAAAGCTCTTGACTACCCCTTCCACAGTTTGCCTGCCATTGACTGAGTCTCTGCCTTAGGCAATCTTGACTCACCAAAGCAGAAAAACAATACCAACGGGAGAGCATCGGTGTGTGTCTGTATGTGATACATTTGCATCTGACAGCAGTGGAGATTCCTGTATCGCTCGACACGCATCCTATATACAATTCCCCTTTTTCCTATTAAGCAGTTGTAAGACCATTGGCCAAGATGTCTGATTCCTCCAGAGGGCCCTTCCGCCTGAAGCTTTAGTGCTCCTCCGATCAATGCATTGCCCCAGATTTTCCTTTTGAAGCACTGAAGTACAAGCTTTTTTTGGCCAACAACCTATTCAGCTCTTTCTGGGTTTTTTGTTTGTTTATGTTTGTGTTCTTCCCCAGTAGCCAACCTTTTGCTCTTGATTATTTTTTTTTTGTAGAGGCCAAAATCTTGTATTTATACAGAAGTGAGACTCTCCATTAAAGAGTTCTAAGCACTGTGCAGTGCTTCTTTCTCATCCTCCACCCCTCATTTTACATGATATCATTGCAGAATCATCTAGTCCTGTGGTGGCGAACCTATGGCACGCGTACCAGAGGTGGCACTCAGAGCCCTCTCTGTGGGCACGCGCGCCGTCACCCCAGCTGCCTGGGCGGCCCCCGATTGAGCAGTTTGAATGGAGGGTGTGGGCCACACAAGGCAAACGTTGAGCCAGCAGTGGTAGAGAAGCCGGCTGCGCCCCGTGACTCCCCTTCTCCTCAGAGGCGGCTGACCGCGACGAGCAGCACCAGCAGCAGCCTGCAGGAGGGAGTGCCTGCTGGGTGAGTGTGCCTCTCTGCGCCCTGAGTCCCGCCTGGCCGGCACCTCGCCTCCTCCAAGCCTGCAAGCGAGTGTTCCTCTCCGCCTCCTCCGTCCCATCCTCCGCCAGCGTCAGTGTCGTCGTCTTCGTCCCTGGAGGGGGGGGCAGCCCATCCTCTGCCACCTTCCCGCCGCCGCTCCCCTCCCTCCCTCCCTCCCTCCAGTGTGCAGGACTCGAGGTAGCAGGGACCGCAATGACAAGCCCCAGAGTTGAACGACAGCCCCTAGATATGGCAGAAGTGTTCTGGAACTGGAATGGGATACTACTAACTGGAATGACAGCTCCTGAGAGTATTCTGGGAATGGAATGACAGGGTCCAAGGTGGACTGACAGTGCCTAGAAGTACAGGAGGCTTATGGGCCTGGAATGACAGTCCCCGGAGTGGAAGGAGAGACCCTGTTTGTAGAGAAAGTTCTGTGCAACTGGATTTGCAAACTGTAGAGTAAATTACTTTACATTTAAGTATTTCTGGAATGTGTGTAGCTATCATCAGATCAGCTCCATCTCATTCCACTCCGTGGTCTCTCATTCCATTCCCAGAGTAGTTTATTTGGGCCCAGAGACTAATGAAAAATCCATTCCACATTATTATTGCAACTCTACTTGTACTGGAATGTATTTCAATGGAGCCCATGCAAGTCAATTGGCATTCCTAGCTCTCATTAGTGTTTCCCATTGTTGCCAGTGGGCAATTGTGTCCTTCCTTTTAGTACATCCCCTCGGTGGGACCTCCTTCACCAGCCCGCCTCCTGGCCTCTTCCTGGTGGGACAAGCTGCTGCTGAATAATAGCCTCCATTAAGGCTCTAGACTCTATCTTTCCTGTGTACACTGGTTACATTTAGGAAATGTGGAAATGGAGCTAGAAGGAAAGATAGAAGGATTGCTTTCCTTTTTTTGGATCATATGCTTGTGAGCAGCTGTTTTCAGCTTTGAATTATATCAAATCTGACACCAGAAACAGACTAACAGATGACCTGAGTGCTGCCTGTGTTGCTCTCAAACTTACAAAGTATGAGCCAAGGTTAGACAAATTATCAGCATGCATACAACAGCAAAAATCACATTAATTGTTCAAAAGCATGCCAAATGCAAACGTTTACCTTTCAATAAAAAATTGTTTGTATCATTGAAAGCTCTGTTATTGTGTTTTTCTTTTAAGACAAAAGATGTTAATGTATGAGTTGTTTTTTCTAAACTAAAACCTTAGTATTCAGGTTAAATTGCCATGTTGGCACTTTGTGATAAATAACTGGGTTTTGGGTTGCAGTTTGGGCACTTGGTCTCTAAAAGGTTCACTAGATCAGTGTCCAACCCCCTGCCCAATGCAGGACCAGCCTAACACATCTCTGACAAATATTCTTCTTTAAAGCTGTCAGTGAATGGGAGCTAACCACCTCCCTAGGCAGCAGATTCCACCTTTGAACCACTCTGACCATGAAAATGTTTTTCCTAATATCCAGCCGATACCTTTCTGTATGTAATCTAAACCCGTTGCTTCGGGTCCTATCCTCTGCTGCCAACTGGAACAGCTCCTTGCCCTCCTCCAAATGACATTCTTTCAAATATTTAAAGAGAGCAATCCTGTCCCCCCTCAATCTCCTCTTCTCCAAACTAAACATTCTCAAGGCCCTTACCCTTTCCTCGTAGGGCTCAGTCTCCAGACCCCTGATCATCCTTGTTGCTCTTTTCTGCACCCTCTCGATTTTGTCCACATCCTTTTTGAAGTGAGGCCTCCAGAACTGGTCACAGTACTCCAGGTGCGGCCTGACCAAGGCAGTATACAGAGGGACTATGACCTCCTGCGATTTCAATGCTATGGCCCTTTTAATACAACCCAAGACCGAATTTGCCTTTTTTGCCACCGCATCACACTGACTGTTCATATTTAGTTTACAATCCACTCTTACCCCAAGATCTCTTTCGCATACACTACTCCCCAGAAATGTATCCCCCATCCAGTATTCGTGCTTGACATTTTTGTGGCCCAGATGTAATAATGTGCATTTATCTTTTTTAAATTGCATCCAGTTTGCAACTGCCCACTTCTCCAGAGTATTCAGGTCTTGTTGAATTTTAACTCTATCTTCTTGGGTGTTAGCTACTCCTCCCAATTTGGTATCTTCAGCAAATTTAATGAGTAGCCCTTCTACCCCTTCATCCTGATCATTGATAAAAATATTGAAAAGTTTTACTGAAATCCAGGTAAATCACATCAACAGAGTTCTCATGATCCAGTCACACGATCAAAGACGGACACCAGGTTGGTCTGACAAGATCTGTTGGGGACAAAACCATGCTGACTTACCCATATCACTAAGTGGTTCTTCAGATGCTTACAGATCAATCCCTTTAAAATCTGCTCTAATATCTTCCCAGCGACAGAAGTCAGACTGACTGGCCTGTAGTTTCCTGGGTCATCCTTCTTCCCTTTCTTAAAGATTGGGATAACATTTGCTCTTCTCCAATCTTGTGGCACATCCCCAGTCCTCCAGGAGGCCTTGAAGATGATGGACAGAGGCTCTGCAAGTTCATTAGACAGTTCTTTGAGCACACTTGGGTGCACACCCTCTGGCCCAGGGGATTTGTATTCATCCAGTGCAGCCAGGTGCCTCTCTACAACCTCCCTGTCAATGTCAACTAGACACTCAGGTGTCCTGTTATGTCCTCTACCAACTCTAGATCGGCTTGAGTTCTTCTGGGAGAAAACAGAGGCAAAAAAGTCATTAAGCTTGTCTGCTTTTTCTCTGTCCTCCACCAGAGTTTCTCCGTCTACTCCCAAAAGTGGTCCAATTGCCTCTTTTACCTTGCATTTGCTTTTCACATATCTGTAGAAGTTTTTCTTATTGTAGCAACTAGTGAGCCCCCCTGGCCAGACCCAACTCATATCGAGCTTTAGTTTCTCTGATGGCTGATCTGCAGTACCTAGTAACTCTCATATACCCCTCTTTAGAGGTCTGACCTTCCTTCCATTTCCTGAATGTTTCCTTTTTCTCCCTTAGCTTATCTTGAAGCTCTCGGTTCATCCACATCGGTTTCTTGGAGCACTTACCATGTTTCCATCTTGCTGGAATAGTGAGGCTTCAGCATGCAAAAGTTCATGTTTGAGAAGAGCCCACCCTTCACTTGCTCCTTTCCCTTCCAGCACACTCCCCCATGGAATGACTCCCATCAAGCCTCTGAGTTCATTGAAGTTGGTCCTACAAAAATCTAACCTATGAGCTAGGTTCCATTTAAGCTGCGCCAGGCTGTGCTGGCGCACCGATTAATCCCGCCCAGCGCAGCAATTTTTACCGCAGTGCAGAAGCGGGAAGTTCCATTTCCAGTAGTCATGCACAAGGCTATTTTTGAGTCGGAACAGCATTCCAGCTGGCTTCTGAGGCCGCCCCGCCCCCTCCCCACCCTAAGCCCTGCTCCACCCCACCCCCGGCAGAAGAAGAAGCTGCAGCGGCAAGAAGCAACAGAGCACGTGCTCGTCCGGTTGCTGCCCGTTGCTGCTCCACTGCACCTCCCTGCCAAAAGGACTTTGGGCCAGTTCCTCAGACAAGGTGACTTAGCACTGTTGGGGGAGTTGGGTGGGGGTGGGAAGGTCCTGTTGCCCTCCCCGCAGCATGGCCTGGCAGCCCTCATGGGCCTGCTGCAGCTGGCATTGTTGAGGGGTGGGTGGGAGATCCCTGGCGCTCTCCCTGCAGCAAAGTCTGGGGCCAAGGCGAGCTTGCTGGGTGACTGAGGGTGCAATGAGACTCCGGCAATGAACGCCGTTGAGAGGCTGCTGTGGGGAGTCCTCACCCCTCTGCTGGGTGATGGCAGGTCGAGTGAGTTGGGGGGGTCCGCTTCTGCAATGCGCCACGGGGGAGAAGGGTGATGGGGGTCCTCGCCAATTAAGCCCTTTTTGTGTCGCAGGGCTGCTTGCGCGCACTTCCTCCCCCCCACGAGGCTTTTCCTCCACCACTGCACGTCTCTTGCTGCACACCAGCCAAGGCTTGCCTGGCCAACTGCATTCCCGAGGAGCCTGTGGCGCGGGCAGGGGGGGGACCTCTTGCTTTCCTCCTGCAAAGCCATGTTCCCCGCAGGAACTGGCTCTCCTCCTGGCTTGGTAGACTCCAGCCAAAGTCCTCCCTTCCTTTTGCCTAGCCAGTGAAAACCATGGATCAAGTGGTGCTGCCTGCAGGACTCGGGCAGGGCAAGGATCCAATGGACCCATGCAAAGAAAGACCCCCTTCCCTCCCCACCTGGGATCTAGTGGCTCTAAACGGCCAGCTCCTGGCTGCCTAAAACTGCCGAATAGTAAATGGTGGGCTTGTGGCAGGCAATGGGACCCCAAGCGCATTCTCCGGGTGTCCACTGAAGTTGCAAGAAAGTTAAGAGAGGTGCTGCATCAGTAGGAAAGTTTCTTTGGTCCGGGCTGAATGAAGCTTCTATCTCAAGAGCGGTGGTGGCCTCAGCAAGTTGGAGCAGCAGCTGGATAATATTTTCCAAATGTCTTTTGCTCTTTCTTTTCTCACTCTCCCCCCCCCCTTGCCTTCCTTCTTTTCCTCTGCTGTCTCTGCCGCTTCCTCCAATATGGAGAGGAGGGTGGGGAGGGAGGGAAGGAACTTCTGTAAGGAGGGGGGGTGAGAGAGCTGCCCATTCAGTGTTGGATTGGAGACCAGTTCAAACTCCAGTGAATTCAGTTAAGATTAATTGCAAACATTTGCAAAGAAATGCAATACACACACATGCTGCCGCCACCACCTGATTTCCTTTTCATGTAGAGGAAAGGGGGGAAAGCGGGGCTTTGGAAAGCCTTCTTCCCCCACACCCTTCCCGAAATAGTACATTTGGGTAGTAGAAAATGACTTCTCTTCCACTTTGCATAGAATCCCGAGTTCCAGTGCTCCTCTCGTTTTCAAGTAAGGGGGGGTGCGTGCTTCGGGATGATTTTTTAATTTGCAGCAATCGCTTTCACACTGTTTGGCTTTCGTTGCTTGATCCACCCCGGCTTTGCAAGATAATAAGGGACATGGTTGGAAGTGAGTTCAGGCTTTGGAGAGGACATACAACTTATTCATGGTTCCCCAGACTGGAAGGCTGAATTTGGAGAGGACGCGATTTAGGGAAAGGGGGGGGGGAGCCCAAAAAACATTTCAGTAGTTTATCCTGAATCCCTTTTTGCATAAGAAGCCCCAGGTGACAAAGCTGGGCATTCAAATTGACTTGCATGGGCTCCATTGAAATACATTACAGTACAAATAGAGTTTCAATAAAAATGCGGAATGGATTTTCCATTATTAGAAGAA